GGTGCCATCCACCCCTCCTGGGAGGTGATCGAGTGTAGCGAGGGCGGTTTTGCGGGGGACCTTGACCCCTACCTCCCACTTGGCGGTCTCCTCTGCCGCCAACCCCCCGATCGCCCTGTCCACAACCACCAGAGGCATGGCCCCGTTGGCCTTGGCCTCTCCCTCTTCCTTGCGGCCTCCCTCCAGCCACGACAGCAGCGTAAGTCCTCCCCTGACTAACACCACTATCCTCTTCCTCTAGGCCCCACTCTATCTGATCATATGGGACCTCCTCCATACCACCCTCATCTAGTGTAAGGATCAGGTGATCCTTGCCCTTAACCTGACCCGAGATGGTACGACCTTTCCACTTCTTGCCCTTGTCAAGGTCCTTATGCCAGAAAGTGGAAGCTGGCATGGACTGCGCTTCAAACGCTACCACTTCCCTACTTAGAGTATCGTAGGTCATGGCGGACTCCTTACTCTTCTTAAATAAGTGCCCGCGCAAAGGTTCGGGCATGGCACGATAAAACAGGTTGACCAACTGGGTCTCAGTAACCCCATGGTCAGGGACGATGATCAGTTCATCCATGACGCTCTTGAGTGCTCTAGCACTTCTCCATTGGCAGGAATGGATGGTCTGCAGTTTGTCAGAAGCTCTAACACTTTATGTGACATCTGCAAACCTCTCACGCAGTAACTTAAAGAAGTCACTCAGGGGGGTGATCAGGGAATATGCGACCATATCGTTCTCGCACTTGGCAGCACGGCAAAGCGACCCAGCGAAGCTAGCTGCTTCGTCTTTAAGGGCATGGGAGGCAATGAGGACATGTTCCTCAGGAGTTATCTTCTGAAGGTGTACATAGGAGTTCACGTTTGCCTCCCAGTTATTGAAGTTCCCCTCCTTCTTCCCGCTGTAGGAATCAGGGAACTTCACCTTAACAGGCTGTCTACGGGGACGAACTTCCTCCTCCCTTGGAGCAGCAAGTTTCACGCCTTCTATGGCGCCTGTACAGAATCACTCCGTATTTTCTAACCTCGCCTTCACCTCTGAGCCCACGTGCATCATCATTTCGCGTGCGAACTCTCTAAACCCCAATCGTATTGATCGCAAAGCTACATCCTGACTTCTGGTGAATTGGAACTGCTCTTCCTGAGCCTGTGCTAGGAGTTCAATATTCCCCGCCATAATCTCCATCTTCCCTGCCAATCCGCCTGCGCCTCCATCTGCACCCTTTGCTGCTTCACCCCCTCCAATTCTTTTGCCGCCTTACTTGCCTCCTCCAACCTTTGCTTCTTTTCTTTGGTCAAACGCAACTTCCATTCTAATTTCTCCTCTTCTATCGCCTGACGTTTGAGGGGGTCTTCTTCGACTTCCAACTCCTTTATGACCACCTCCTGTTCTGCCCTGGAGACATATAACATCGCCTCCTCCTCTTCACCTAGGGACAAATTAACAGCCCATTCTGAGACCTTCTTTTCTATCCAGGGGTCCTCCTTCTTTGTGCCACTTGACCCTCCTCTTTCCCCGGTACTCTTTCTTATCAAGGGCACTTCTTCTTCCACTTTTTTCTCTTCTTCTTCTTCTTCTTCTTCTTCTTCTTCTTCTTCTTCTTCTTCTTCTTCTGCTTTCACTGCTTTCAATTTCTCCTCTTCTTCCTTCTTCAACTTTTCCAACTCCTCCAACTTCTTCTTCTTTGCGGCTTGCTCCTCCAATAAGGCAAATTTCTTAGCCTGCTTTACCAACTCCTCCTTCCTGGCCTTCTGCTTGGCCAGAATCTTTGCAGCCTCCTCCTCATGCTCCTTTGTATAAGGAGTGGTCCCAGTTCCACCCCTCGTCTCCACTCTACACATAAACGTGTTCCAGAATCCTAATGGAAAAAGGAGACGCCATAGGGTCCCCCAGAGGAAGAACCCCACGAGCAAGCCATACATGGGGTAGTCATCCATGGTGTCAAGTGCACGACAAGGACTGTCCCACTCCTCACCACTTAGACCTACCCACTTAACTGACTGACTGACTGTCTAAGGACCACAGAGCCTTACCCTTCGATCCATCCAGGTTACCACGGCCGACGGAAGCTTTCACCACCACTGTCCTTTACAAACCAGACCCAGATGCCCAGCACCTGCGGTCAATCCCACCTGGCTTTCACTCCGGTTCAGAACCCTGTTAACTAGGGTCTCTAGCCTAGACCTATCACTAAGCTGCCACTACTGGACTTCAGCACTGATCAGGAGGCATTCAACGACATCCCCCGTAAATCCTTAGGAATTGTTTAACGTCGCAAACAGGACAACGGGATCAGCAAGTCCTCTCAACACTTAGACAGCTGGTTGTGCAACCCACAACTCGGATTTTGGACCTACCATGCCACACTAAGCAGGCCGCCGGTCTGTACCGGTCCTTGGGAGGGTTTGTCCTCCGGGTCAGTCAGTCGTCAGACATGGACTTAAGCCCTACTCAGCCCGTGTGGGTTTGGTCAACGCAGCTCTACGACCTTATACACGGAGTTCCTATCACCTGGACAAAAGAGACTCAATGCAGAAAGAAGAGACAAACAGACTTAGCAAGTACCATGCGGTTAGTGCACATCCATAGGGCGAGGGGCTGAAGGCTTGGCGAGAATATACCAACTCCAGCTTGGTCAAACTCGTGGTCAACAGCTCTAGTCAACCCTCGGTCAACGCCTTCGTCAACTTTGGTCAGCCCTCAGTCAACTTCTGTCAACTCCCTAGTCAACGCCTTGGTCAACGCTCAACTCGGCTATGGCTGCCGACCTCTTCTCTCTCACCAACCTTCACTTCTCTATTCCTCCCTCCTTCCTTCTTTCTTCTTCTTTCTTACTTCACCCTGGCTATGGCTTCCTTCTCCCTCGTCGTCCCTCCTTCTTCCTCGACTATGGCTTCTCTCTCCTCCTTTGTCTCTCCCTCCTTCCTTGGACCACACAACGATCTTGTATCGCTCCTCTCTCTCTCTCTCTCTCTCTCTCTCTCTCTCTCTCTCTCTCTCTCTCTCTCTCTCTAACTCTATCTCTCTCTCTCTCTCTCTCTCTCTCTCTCTTGTCGTTGTCCTTTGCAGGTGCACGATGTCTTCTTCCGCGGCGCAGCTATGGCGGACACTTCGCCTTCCTCGATGACGAGTCTCAGCTATGGCGCACTGCTAAATGACGATGGCGCGTGAAATAACGGGAACCTGCTCCGATACCAATGCAATCAGACTCGCTTTCTTCTTCGATTCGCATGCATGCAAACAGATGACAAGACACACTGGCGCCAGGCGCCCACAAAAAGCTCAGAGATCTTCAAGTCGAGAATACAGTTCAGATACAGACTCGCCTCAAATTGGCTATGGCGCCTGAGCGCCTACACCGCTCACTTCCCAACTCTGTACTCACATCAACTGTTCACACACACCCAACTCCGGGCCTCCCTGAATATCCCACGCACACATACTCTGAATCAGACACGCACCCTCACTACTTCCTAACACTAGCTATCGCAGCTATGGCCGCCAGCTATCACTAACCCCAAGCAGCTATGGCTGCACTGTCTCCCTCTCAGCCCACTTCGACTTCGGGCAACTGCAGATCACCTCGCACAAGACGCGAAGGTAGCGCTTCGGCATGGCTCATGCAGGAATGAATGAATGGCTCGACGCTGCCTCTTGATTTATACTTTGGTCACTTGTCTGCCCTTTTTCCACCGGGCCCTTGGTGCACACAGTCCCACATGGTACTTGATGACTGGACTAAGTGAGACTGGGACTGGGTACCGCTGACTAAGCAAGGGTGGACTCACCACTTGCCCACTTGGCTCTGGTCTGCTGTGAGCAACGTTCGAAAGGCCACTTCCGGACCATCCGGAAGCCTGCGGACTTGGCCTTTCGAAACCGTAGCAGCTACAACCTTGACCCTTCAGGACTGTAGCAGCTACGACCTCTACACAACTTTGACCCCTACTTGACAGACCTACGGTTCAAGACCCGACAACTATACCGACCTACGACAGACAACAACTGACACCTAAAACGCAGGTCACGGGTTCAAACACACAGGGGTACTGTATACGGGTGAGGTAAAGTCTAGGGATCGAGCCCTGGGATCTGCATCTGCTACTGCTAAGGTGAAACCCGTTTCATGTGAAAGGACATGCGAGGTATGAGGGAGCGAGTCGTAAGAAAGAGTAGTTGATGAGTATGACAGTAGTGGCCGATGGGTATCTACGAACGGGAAGAATACGGGTGATGGGAATGGAGTTGGAAACAGCCGGTACCGAGCATCATAGTGTGCGTCTGGGTACCGCCTCGAAGTATCCCGGCCACTATGAGCCCGAGGTTCGGGCACAGGGAGTGGAGCCTTGCCCCACCCCCGCAGCCCCTCCAGTAGGTGTCTCGGGCCACCGGGGAAAGGCCGTGGCTTTAACTCCTGGCTCTTCCTTCCTTTGTGACTCATCCTTGTCGGTAACAAGTAACCGGACTGCTGCCGCCCAGAATATAAGGGGCTTGTGTGTCTTTTACTGAAGAAAAAAAAAAAACATTTGGGGTAGAGCAGTGGAAAATCCTCCCAATCGGGTAGTAATGAATGTTGCTGCCTCAGGATCTCTCGACCATAACAAGGAGAAGCCATGAGTAAGCGACACTGAACCCAGTTTCCAATATTATAAATACGAAGTCTGATCCTTGAAGGAAAACGAAAAGAGAGTCGTTCGGGACATATGTTAGAGTAAGAACAATACAGAGAAGATTAGCATGGCCCCTGTGCAAGGATGCAGGCATGAATCGAGATATGCTTGGAAAAAAAAAAAAAACAGAGAGAGAGAGAGAGAGAGAGAGAGAGAGAGAGNGAGAGAGAGAGAGAGAGAGAGAGAGAGAGAGAGAGAGAGAGAGAGAGAGAGAGAGAGAGAGAGAGAGAGAGAGAGAGAGAGAGAGAGAATTGCTGCCATTTCTGTTTTTAACTTGAGCCTTGCCATTCATTCATTCGATGGACGTTGTGTTTGACTGTTGCATTCTCTGCCGGCAGGCCAAGCATTCCTTCTAGGGAGGTACTCCTTCCACTACCACATGATTGGTGTGGTGACCAACTCATTTGTGAGGAACTGTGTTGTTCACCATGCATATAACCGGGCAATAGCTATCCATGGCGTTCATCGACTGAGTGTTGTAAACAATGTTGCATATCATGTTATGGGCCACACCTTCTTCGTTGAGGTAAGCTATCAGTGAGATGCAATACAGAATTAAGAACTTGTACAATTTGATTATCGGCTGTGCTGGATTCTTCTTTAGGAAAATTGCATCTGTACCCCAGGTAAAGATGGGAATACTGGCTATAGCCACTCCCAGCGCCAACTTGCATCCACACCCAGAAAACGGCTGGTGGAAATTGTTTGCATGCCCAGGACCGAGGTGGACCCAGGTTGGTACCGCAAAATTGTGGTTATAACCAACTACCGGAATGCACAAATTATGGACATACCCAGGGAAATTATGGGCATACCTGGGACCTGAGGAGGAGAGGCCAAATTATTCATATACCCTGTCTCCCGGATGGCTGAAATTATGCTCATACCCAGCAACTGTTGGGCCACAACCGTCTACTTGGTGGGCATGGGCATAATTTTGTGCTGTGAATCCAGGGCCCGCAGGATTGGGTACACCTACAATTTCGCTCAGGGGAAAAGCTGGGTACTATGCAAAGTTGAACGCCCTCTGGGTATAGATGCAAGTTTGTGGTGGGAGTGGGTATAGCAGGTATTCCCATCTTTAAGTGGGGTACAGATGAAACTTTTCCTTTTGTTTTGTGTGTGCTGGAATTATACCCTGGATCCTGACGTAGGAAAATGAAAAGGGTTCTAAACTTTTTGATTGTTCTGAATTGAGCTCTTAAACCACCAGTACCTCGCCCAGCTTGAAAAAGACGACGCGGCCGTTAACGCGCCGCGTCGGGCGGGGTACCCACCGACGAACGACCGGTATTCCCCAAAAAATAAGGAAAAAAAAAAAAGGTCTGAAAAACGTCGACGAAAACAGGAAGCAACGAACGAAAAAACAAATGGGCGCGACAGGGGTGGGGAGAGAGAGAGAGAGAGAGAGAGAGAGAGAGAGAGAGAGAGAGAGAGAGAGAGAGAGAGAGAGAGAGAGAGAGAGAGAGAGAGAGA